ACGACGACGGCAAACCCGTTCAGGGGTCCGCCTTATATACAGCTCCCAGGGTCACTCCGCCCCTGGCCACGCCTACTCTCTAGAACCTTCTGGAGGGACCTGGACTATTGCATAATCCCCCTGCCCCCACCGGGGGCCTGGGGTGTGTATCTCCGGTTCCCAACCACCTTCTGGGTTTCGTGGCCTAACGGCGTTACTTGATACAGGCCGTACTCGCCGTTACCCCCTGTTGACCAATGGCTGACGCTACACCAGGTGAGTAGTGGTAACCGCGTGTAACGCTAAGAATACCCACTGCACTTCTAAGGTGCCTATGAATGTCTGATGTATATTGCTACATATACAGGAATATTGAAAGTAAATACCAGTTATTAGATATCAGACACAAATACCAACAATGATACGCATGCCCCGCAAGCACATGCCAACTTCTTCCCACATACCAAATGCTGAAATCAAGCATCAGCACTCAATACACTGTTCCCAGAAACACCCACCTCTTTGATTCATCAGCAGCAGTCATACAAGCAATATCAGCAGTGGATTGATCATGGCTGCTGCTGATGACGATGATGATAAATAAACCCTTGTCAGAAGTTTGTGAGAATGTCAAACTTTGCAAGTGTATCTCCTTTGTGCTGGTGACACCGTTTACCCACGAAAGCCTCACCGAGTCTCAAGGCCATTTTTCCGAGCAGGGGGCGACGATTTCTACGTGTTTCCCAATCGAGTAATTTGCCGGTAATTTTCTAATTGGTAAAATTTGCATCATGACGCGGGGCATGCGACGGCAGCATTGACCACGGGCGGCCTGCCAGATCCGAACCGTGGACGTCTGCAACGAGCGGTGAACGCTCCGCCGCTGGGCTTCCACTGGGCCCGCCGAGTCATGCCGCATCACGCCGCATGGTCGCGTTTCTCCCGAGGACGCCCTCCGTGCGCGACGACGACGAGCGGCCGGTGGCCCCCTCGAGCGCCACTGGACTCACGTGCGGAGGCGTACGCCGACTTGGGCAGCCCACGCTCGCGCGTCCTGCGCCAGCACCTGGGACGAGGGCTGCGAACAGCCAGCCTCTGGCTCCACCACGCAGAAACCTTCTCCGTGCCGCGGCTCGGCGCGCTGGCCGGGGGAGCACAGGCACAATGCCGCGCCGCCCGCCAGCGCGATCGGTACCGCCAACCGCTTGTGCTGGAACACAGAAGACGGCCCACGTCGGCACCTCCAATTCACACGGTTGGCTATGTAAGGTCCAAAATAAGTTTAATGTATATGTAGTGAGTCCAACTGAGTCGCAGATGTTGTCTTGGGAGCAACACTATTTATTCAGAACTCAACATAACACAACACAACCTACACTTGGGTGTTGAATGCTAATCTAGCCACGCTACGGCAGAACTAGGCATGGTTCGCTATCCCGGCCCGGACCACAAGCTGGGTCCCGGACTGCGTGGCTAGAGGCTTCTTTTACCTGACGTGGATCTTCATCACCAGCAACAAGAAGAACCCCAAGCCCCTCACGGGGCCCCCATTATATCGGCCTGGGCTGGGACTGGCTCCGCCCCTCACCCCGCCCACCTTCTAGATCTCTCGAGGTCTTTCCTGAAAGCTCCCCGAGAGCTCTTTAATACCACGTGACCGCCCATAGGCCCCCGTCCACCGGTGCCCCCCTCCAATATCATCCGGTCACGTGTCGGCAAGTCACGCAGCGTATCATGCCCCAACGTAACCCTGGCTGGCTGAAACTCCCTCTCGCTCCCCCACCGGGAGCCCACACCGCACACTGTACGTGGTGTCTCCGTGCTGACCATCGCTCACCCAAGCCCCGCTAGGGCTGGTACTACGTCCAGTAAGCGGGCTACACATAATGCCAACACATTATCCGCCGTGGCTTCGTAAGCCCGGCACCACACACCAGAGGTGGGACAAAGTCATTGTTATGCAAGTCCAAGTCGAGTCTGAAGTCATCAAATTCATGACTCGAGTCTGACTCGAGTCCAAGTCACATGACTCGAGTCCACACCTCAGAGGTGGGACAAAGTCATTGTTATGCAAGTCCAAGTCGAGTCTGAAGTCATCAAATTCATGACTCGAGTCTGACTCGAGTCCAAGTCACATGACTCGAGTCCACACCTCTGCCACACACTGACAATCACAGTCACAACATATGCGTACATACAACGCTCTCCTGTGACAACGCCAAAGGCTGCAGGCGCCGTGGGCGGAGGGCCCGGTACGCACGTGCAGCTTCAAGATCGCCGGTGCACACACGACACGCACCATCTCCTACTTCGCGTGGTCACGTCGGCGTCGCTTCTACTAAAGTGTTCTTATGCGTGCACTGCGCCCCGCTCGGATTTTTCTGGGCAAATCATTGTATTTTTATTTCTTATTGGAGGCTAAAATAAATACTATTAAACAAAAAATATTTTTACCAGGTAACGCCCACTGAGCTATAAAGCTCTTTTTCAGTAGCGACTTGGTCCCAAATGACCGGAGGACCCGGAGAAAATTCCACAAGACACCGGGAGAGAAAGAGACGCAAACTACAAATATACAGCAGGCGTTTGGGTCGGGATCGAACCCACGACCTCTTGCATATCAGGCGAGGCCGTTAACATCTCGCCACCGTGGCTTGCCCTGAATTCCATCTTACTGGAATTCAGGGTATGTTCTCCCCCTGTTCACGCTTCTTTGGAAACGACTGAGTGGCTCACGGCCTGAGCTGGGCTGAGTTAGAGGCCAAGACGGAGCCGAGCCAAGAACATGATCCTGACCCTGAGACTCGTGGCACGGCACACGCATGGAGCGGAACACGTGTGGAGCGGCACACGCTTGGAACGAAACACGTGTGGAGCGGAACAAGCATGGAATGGCACCTGCTTGGCGTGCAGGAACTGGAAGGTTTTCCCCTGGAACAGGAGCCTCCGCTCAGGCCGGGGGGTCAAGTCGAGGTCGCCCGGGTTGATGCCCGGTTCATCAGCCAGAGGCCAGAAGCTGATGCACATAAACACACAGCGCACATCAACACATCAAAACAGCCAAGACTCGTTTCCTAGTTACAAATATTTTATTCTGCTTATTTACCCAGGCAGGCCTTACCGAATCTGAAGATATTTGTTTCCAGAGGGTTCTGCCAAGTGTTTGCAGTAGGGGGTGATGTTGCTGCTGAGTGAATACAATTGCATAATCTAACCTATAAAATAATTTTTTTGACTGTCCGTCCGTCTGTCGGCGCACGTGCGCTTGCGAGGGATTTGGCTCTCAAATGGTGGGGTTTACGTAAACAAAAATTTGCCAGCTACCACACCGGAAGCCCCGCGGTGGGCAAGCCCTATTCTGTTTTACCGTCCGTTACCTTAAAATTTGTTACAATAGCGTTTTTGTGCGATTTATTTTTATTTATTTATGTAAATTTGCCGCCCGGCGCGGGACAAAGCACACAATTGCGCATGCGCGAAACGCTGACAGAAGTTGCCTCTAGCAACGCACACACGGTCGCTAAAAAATTTCATTCGCATTAACAATGCTTAAAAAATATACACACAACGCTGAGGTTCATTCTTCACGGTCTTATGTCCTCCACCAACCCAATGCGTGCAGTTACTGATATAAAGTCCGTATATATTAATATTGAAGCGCTTACATAGCATTATTGCAGCGTGGGTGGGGAGTGCGGCCCAGCCCCCAGCCTGGAAATGTGTTACCTCCGGTTGGGCAATCTAGGCGAGGCCGCGGGCTCTGCACGGGACGAGGCCTCACCATGGCAATGTAAAGTACAGTTTTATTGAATCTTTCGCTAAGAACTCAGGTTCATTGTTTACTATTATGAAACAAATAATTTGGCAAATATTACAATAATAATGTTTGTGTGCAGAAAACTAATTTCATTATTAGGTTGCTAATTACCATATTTCCCCGCATATAGCCCGCATACGCATATAACCCACAGACGCATATAACCCACAGACGCATATAACCCACAGACGCATATACCCCGCAAAAATAGCGTTTTGTGTAAAACAAATTTCAGATAGCCCGCACCTCCATTTACTCCGCATGCATTCATATCTTTAACGTCGTTACCGCAGCTTAATGCCATCATATTAATACTAAGTTTACATTTGTAATACATTCCACTATCAATTGTTAACATTCAAATCATAACGTTCATAAAGAAAACAAACTAACCGGAAACGAGCGAACGTAATATAGTTAATAAGTAACAAAAGTAAATATCCAATAAATAAGTAACACATAACTGGTCGATAAGTACAATTTTAGCACTGGTAGATTGCGCACTGCGCAGATAATAGCGGAACTACGGTAACGCCGTTGCCTCGCCCCCAACCCCCCACCTCTCTCCCCCCAGCTGCCCCACCCCCAACCCCCACCTCTCTCTACCCCCACCTCTCTCCCCCAGCTCTCCCGTCGCCGGTAAACAAAGTGCGTTCACTTCAAACATTGTCGTTTCATTGTACAAACAATTCGAATAATTTAACATGTGATAACATGTGCAATTTTTGTGTGAGTGGTTTATTCAGCAGTGCTTTAGTCAAAGGTAAGTGTTGCATAGTGGATAGTCCTACCATGATTTTTTTTACGAGTTATGACATGTCACACGTGTAAAATATTTTTGGGATAGCCCGCACCTCCATATACCCCGCAGGGTCTTGTTTTGTTTGTAAAAAGTGGTATACCCCACGGGTTATATGCGGGAAAATAAGGTATTTCCTTTTTTAGGTGTTTTTATGACACTGCGACAGTACTGCCAGTCTGTGCTGTGGCCTGCTGCCTGCTGATTAATTAACGTCAGTGCACTGGCACTATTATCTACACTGCTAATTTTGCTTTTGGCCATTATGAGTGTATGCCAGTCTATGATCTGTTGCCCGCTTCTTTACCTCACTCAGTGTACTGCAAACTTTTCATGCTGACTGTATCCTGCTTTTTTAGCTGCTGACCATATTGCCAGCTTTTATGTAGACTGTGGCAATGCTTATGTCATTGAGTCACCCTACTGGCAGTCTATAATCTAGACTGTAGCCTGCTTCTCAAATTACCTGTGCGTACTGCTGCTCTTTAATGTAGACTTATTTCAGCTTATTTCTTCAATGCATTTCTATTGTTTCGATTGCTCATGTCACGCTATAGTACTGCGATGCTGATTAATATGTTATACTGCTAAATACGTTTAACTTTCTTAGCTACAGCCCATTGCATTTCGTTTATCGTTTTGTTACATTCGTGGGAACATCACCCATACTTTCCACCAAAGCGGGGAGCACGGAAATATTGCTGACCTTGCTTTCTTACGGTGGGTGAGGAACATTGTGAGAGAAACATTGTTCTTCCTACCAAGAAAACACCATCGCACAATTTCCTGACACTAACAGAGCATACGATGCCCTACAATAACACATTTTCCTGTCGCAAGGCCAAGATGGGTACCACGTTAAAATTCCTCCAATTACAAAGCTGCAAGACAAAGACATCCTCACGAAACTGTCTCCTCTAAAAAAACTTCTATTCCTTCGTGATCATGGACAGAGGAGGAAACCACATATTATGGTATGCCAACCTCTTTCACCAATATGTTGTCGATTAGTGCCAACATTAAGAGTGAGCGCCTTCTTTACATTCAACTGAATCAAAACCGCCTGCGTGTGAACAGTATGCTCATCTCTGGGATGCCATCAATGCCAAAGGAGATGCAAACGGTCACAATGTGGGCTGATTAGTTATTTTGCCTTCATCCTTCACAGCTCCACCAAGATGCATGTGTAATGTGAGGATATATCAGGCTCACTGACGTATCACAACTCGTCATGATGTTTGGCTCTGCCGGTCCTGGTCAATAGCCAATGGGGGGAAGCCTAGGGGCGTGGCCCTGATGTAATGGAAAGGTGACAGCTGTAAGTAGAAGATTGGTTTTGCTGGCTTTGGCCACAGCCAATGGGGAGCCTACGAGGGAGTCTGGAATATTCCATAGAGGCTAACCAGGATTGGTGGAAACGTACCACGTGACCCGGGTATTAAATAGGGGTGGAGACAAACAACACGTGGTCAGAACTGGAACGAACGGAGGAGGAGGCCACGCGAGAGTGGGGCTCCAAGTTGCCACGTGGCTGCACGTCTCTCTCTCTATCTATCCCTCTCACACTGCCGGTCAGCAGCGTGAAGGAGAGCTGTAATGAAAAGTAAATAAAAGATCGGATTCCAGAAGTCGCCTCAACGACCTTTATTACACATGCATGAGAAGACTCAGGATGCCATGACATACATCAGCCAATATGCCACGCCCCATCTCTTCATCACCTTCACTTGCAATCCCAAATGAATGGAGATCCAGGTTTACCTTTATCCAAACCAAAAGCCACCAGACAGACATGACATCTTAGCGAGGGTCTTAAAACTCAAAATTTATGACCTCATTATGCTTATTACGACCAACAAATGCGGTGTCTTTGGATAGACAAGCAGTAACTTGCACACCATTGGGTGGCAAAAACGTCGTCTTCCTCATGCTCACATTTTGCTATGGATGAGGGAAACAATTCATGCAAGTCACATTGACACATTTATCAGTGCTGGGCTACCTCACCCCCATCAACACCCTGCCCTTTTTCTATGTGGTCTGTTACCAAATGGTCCATGGCCAATGTGGCCAGTTCTATCCAAATGCGCCATGTATGCAAGACCACGGGTGTACCAAGAGGTATCCACGGAACTACTTAAAAGACACTCAGTCAGCCCTTGATGGCTATCCTCTATCATCGTCACAGAAATACTGAGCATGGTGGATTGCAAATAACGCTCAGACCTGCCACTAACTCGCTAATTAACGTTTAAAACCGGTGGATCGTTCCCTACTGCCCTCTTCTGTGCAAGATCTTCCAGGCCCACTTTAATGTGAAATTCTGCTATTCTAAAAAAAGCCATCAAATATGTTTGCCAATACATCAACAAAGGCTCTGAACATGGTTGTCTTTGCCTTACAAAACAGAGGGGCAAAGTGTGCATGAGCTCAAACTTTTTTTCCAAGGAACATACATCAGCAACAATGAGGCCATTTGCTGAATTCTTGGCTTCCCCATCCATGACCGTTCCCCCACAGTCGTCCATTTGGCGCTTCACCTCCAAAATGGTCAACGCATCTACATCACCAAATGCCCTACAACAGGCCCTAGCTCCACAAGATACCACCCTTATAGCGTTCTTTGTTTTGTGCCCAAGTGACCCATTTGCTGCCAACCTGCTCTTCCATTAAGTTCCCTCCTACGATACATGGACTGATAAAAAAAAAAATGGAAGCGACGTGCTGCTGACGGTGAATCTGATGCCTTCGGACGAGTCTACACAGTTCATCCCCAAAATCAGCAGTGCTACTTTCTCCCAATGCTTCTCCATGTTGCCAAAGGGCACACATCTTTCCAATACCTCTAAACAGTGGAAGGAGTTCATCTACTTGGTTCTTTCGGTAAAGTCATGTAGAATGGAAATAATAAAATAATAAAAATAAAAGATAATAAAATAATTCTCACGACGTTTCGGCCACAACGCAAGCAGCCATCCTCAGGTGAAGAACAGGTCTGTCGAGGAGACAGTCTGAATGACACACTTCGCTTCAAAGGTCAGAAGGCAGGAGAAAGATAGCCATCAAATGTCATAAATTCCACACAGAACAAAGGGGGGGGGGGGGGAAGTCGCAAGGGGTTGTTAGGATAACACCCATTCCTTCAAAGGCCCTTTTACAATACAAAACCAGGCCACAAAATATATATAATTATATTCTTAACAAAAAAAATAGCATCGACAACAAGAAAGCACAGACGGGTTTGAATCCTCATGTATTAATTCCATACGGACATTATTTACCCTTAATAATTTCTACGCGGCCGGGCCGAAGCATCAAATAATAATTATGGCAGTCAGGGTCGCTCCTAAAAAAAAAAACATAAAAACGAATTCCCTAGCCCCGGGATATCAGATTAAAT